GGTGAGAGCTGTGCACAGCCTGCACCTGCACCAACGGATCAGTGACCAAGAGTTTACAAGAGGCTGTTTCTCAACCTGGAAAAAACAACAACAGAGCAACCCAGCATCTTCTGATGAGAGAGCCCCCCACCATCCTATTGTGATGTTTGGGTTAACTTCTCTGTCCATGTTGCCCTATGCAGGACCTGTTTTTTCCTTCAGAGCTCCTCTCCTCTCTGAGGAGGTGCATTTCTGTGCTAAGGCCCATTTTTGCGCACTGCCATCAGGGTCCTGGGCAGCGTTCCCCAGAGAGGCTCTTTGGATACTTCACTGACGCATACCAAAAGGCAAAACAGGAAAAAATGTGTTGTATTGGTGAAAGAAATGGAGGGGCATGTGATATTTGCTCAGGGGAGGGTGAAGGTTGCACAAGCAATTGGGTTACACAATCAAAACCAGTGGAATTACTTTAGCTTAGCAAGTTACTGTCGATCAGCTTGAGCTGCACTTTCCCAGAGCTTCTTGGCCAAAATACCTTACTCTTTAACTGTAGCAAATTAAGATAAGGCACCTRGTCTGTGAGCACTGCTCTACTGACATGCACTAGACCATTTTTCATCACATCTCTTGCACTCCCAAAGACATCTGAGGAGGATTGCAAACTCCTGGACCACAGAGAAGTGAGCAGCAGTTCAGAGGGAGGCAGACCAGGACAGGGGAATGAAATGAGAGTGGCCCTCAGATGCTTACAGTTGCCTCCATGCTGGTCAGAAACCGCTAACTACCATTAATTGCTGGCGGCAACTCCCTTCTTCCACAATGGGAGAGAGCTGAGAGCAAACGATCCAAACAGTAATTACAGTTAAATCTCATTCCCCATCCATGAGGCAATCGAGTGGCCCGGGACAAGAGGGGACATCTTGATGAAGGAACTGAAATGGACATAGGCTATAAGATGGTTCAATAAACAAACACTCCAGGCCCCTTGTCAACATGCTGCAGTCTCTATCCAGGAGACAAAGCCAAAATTCAATGAACTACTAGAACATGCAGCAGTTGAGTGCAGGAGGAGCCAGCAGAGTGAATGAAAGGATTATTTTCTTTTGCCCTCATATTTCATTGGAAGTCAGAGCTCCAGGATGCTCCAGCTGAGTTTTTCTCTTGCAAGCACCCCCCAATGTCACAGCCTCCTACAAGGCTGCTCCTGCAGTGGAGCCGGGCAGCCTTTGCTGGCATTCCTGACCATGTAAGACCCCGTGCCAAGACAGCATTTTGTCCTCTTGCCAGAGGCCAGCACTGTGTCAGACCYGCTAAGAGACTCACAGCACTTGCCTGCAGTCCCAGCCATTTCTGGGAGAAAAAACCAAACACATCCTCAAGGGTCGCTCTGAGCATTTAGCAAAGCAATGAGCAAGAGGCTGCAGTGGCTACTGAACTCTGCTGGCTGTAAGTCATTTGCACAGTATGGAGAGATAGATCCTCCTTGGAGATGGATTTGGTGAACACCCAGCCTGCTCCAGTCTATTCCTTGCTGCTTGTTGCTCTAGAGGCAAAGTGAGACCTCCAGTCATGCCAAATAACCTCACCTAAGCCTTGCATGAACTACAAGAATGGCCTATTTTTGCATGTGGGATGTCCCCCCTTCAGCTTCCACAGAGGGTTGGGCAAAGAATGACCATTTGAGCATGTGCAAGTGACATCCAGCCAGGGCTAATACCACGTTTGCAACACTTCAGAGCTTTAACAAATCCCAAATGGCTCTACTGCTGACCTACTCCAGCAGCTGGAGTTTTACAGGACATGGGCAAGACAGCAGCCTCCTCATTCTCCTTCTCCTTCTTATAACCACAAGGACCTGGCCTTGCTTGTGAGCAGAATAAGGGAAACGCTCCAGGAAACCCCCAGGGGAGACRCAGGGGTTACAGTAGCACCAGGTTGGACCTTCTCTCCTGTTGCTGATGTGTGGCAGAATCAAAACAGGCCCCTGTGACGGTTCCGGCAAGTTGGGAATGCAGCAGCCAGAACAGGAGCAAGCCACGGGAGGAAGCACCAGGAATAGCACAAGCTCCTCTTGCCAGCAGACTCCCTGGGGCTGCGCTGCCCTGGCTTTACCCTGGCCCAGGCTGCAAGGAAGGGGACGGATGGCAAAGACAAGGTAGATTTTAGCACTGCTCCTGCCTCGGCTGCTCAGGGGACTCCCGGGGGTCTGGACGGTACCAGCAACTTGCAATACTCGGAGTGAGAGACCAGTGGGTCACTGCCCTGCACCTCTCATCGACAGCCAAGAGCATCCAGAGCAAATCCAGCACAGGCAAGGGCTTGCAGGGCTGCATCCTCTGAAAACAAACCCAACTTCCAGTTAGTCTAGGGCAAACTCAAAAGGTTTTATTTTCATTTTTTTTTCTTTTTTTTTTTTAGCAAATTCTATCACGTAAATGTTAACAAAAAACATCTGTACAATTGCCATGATACACTCAAAAGTGAAACAAATAAGATATAAATACAGATATGGATGTAACATGACAAAAGCGGAAAAAAATAGAAAAAAATACATGCGCATGAACACGGTGCCAACAAAACCATTTCTTATGGCTGGCATTTTTCAGAGCGTTTTTTACTTCCCATTTAAAACATTATTGTTAGCAACATCCTGCTGTACTCTACAGAGATCTATTTTTCTGTCCCTTAATATGTAATATTATGCTCGATAAATAAAGGGGTGGGGAGAAAAGGTTTCGATGACAAAGATGCGAGTTACATTACTTATACAGGTTATTGGTAAGCTAGTAGTAAGCAATAAAAAAAGACAGTCTTGTATTGTATTGTAATCCAGGCAAGCACACATAGTGTACCTTAAGAAAGCCACATGCCTCGATAATTCTGCACTACATGAGAACTACAGTACGTAGGACTGTGGGGGCCGCTGTATCCGTTATTCGCCCATGCCCACGGAGCACTGGTGCAGCCAATGGCAGAAAAAAACATCCACATCTGAGATTCTGGCAACCTTACAGCCAGAAGCCGCTATCTGGAGAGAGTTTTTTCTCATCCAGAATTTTTTAAGCATGGTGGGCAAATTCTTTTTTTTTTTCTTTTTTTTTTTTTTTTCTCTCAAAGATACGAAAAAAAAAATATTGAAGCCCTGCGTCATGGGCAGCAAGGAAATAAAAAGGCAGCTGCAGTAGGTGGCTACTGCTGGGAGAAGGTGAACACAAGCTCCACCGTGGCGGTGAGGCACTGCCAGCATGCAGATCTTCCTCTGCAAACGCGCGCGGACACGGTCTGACTCGCAGCCAGAGAGACCTTGATGCTCGCTGAAGGAAAGACAAAGTGATTGTACAGCTTTTGGAACCCAGAACACTGCACATCAGAGAGGTGACATTCAGAGCTAGCCCTTTGAGTACTTCAAAGGAAAAGAAAATCGGGTCATGTTCAACATACTAAACAACTTACTATGTACATAATACGCAAATGATTTATAAATACCTAAGCAGAATGCTCTCTACTGTATACAGATGTAACGGACTTCTAGAGTACTCAAAGGATGAACAGTCCTCAACTGACTTGTGTAAAGAAATAACGTAACACACTAATGAGCATCTGTTGACAAACAGAACAGAATCTGATCAAGAAAGTAAGGCCTGGTTCTACTGTGTGCAGCCCCAAACGTGCCAATGGTGTCTGAAAATCCATGCTCATCCCTGGAGTCTCAGAGCAGCAGCAGATTCCACATGTGTTTCTCAAGGACGAGCTCTTAGTTCCTGCGGCAGTGTCAATACACGTGCTAGGGTCAGTTCGGGGACATGAGTTACAGTGTGTTCACTTTCAGTGCATACTAACAGGATTCCATAAAATATATTTAAAAAAGAAAAACATTTGCAAAGGAATTTAATTCCTGGAGACTCGCTACAATGTGCGCCTTTCCAGAACAAAGCCAGTGGGGATGGAAGGGGTTAAGCGCTGACAGTCTGACCTTCCGAACCCCAGGACTGGGACAGAAGATGCTGAAAGAGGCAGAGGCATAAAAATACTGAGCAGTTAGAGCACAAATT